TTATAAAAATGAATAATTGATATGATTGATCCAATCCAATTGAGGGAATTCCGACGCTTCACCGCTTCGAATTATTGATTTTAATTTCACGTTTCAACATTGAATTTTATTACACATTTGAGAGAACAATTCAACATTTTTGATCTTTTAAATATTCTTCCATCTCCCTGTGGATACGACACCCCAAAACTGTGCTACAACTACCGCGTTATTTTTTGAACGTAATCAACTGCTGCTTACGAGAGAGAACAAGAAAGAGCTCTATTTCCACCTCTATCAAGTTGATATCCTCACGACAGTGGCATCGAGGTAATTTAAATTTTAGTTAAGGGAAAAATTCATATATCAAGACTTAAAAGTTTAGTCCAATTCAATTTGAAGAGAACAAGTTTAAATTTTCAAGACTTAGGTGATAATTAAATAAATAATTATATATATAATAATTTCAATCTCTTTCTAGTTCGGGCCACAATCACCTCCATCTGCCCCCGCCGCCATTCTTTCTTATAGTTGCTGGAATCCACTCTCACAGTCATCGACATCTAAATAACTTTGACGGAAAAAGATATAATCCATAGAGATCGTCGGCAACTGAGCATCTTCTTTAGCGATGAACTGATCTTCACTCAGTGGCTATTGAACATCGTCAACTCACAAAATAGATAGAGAAAGTGAGAGAGAGAAAAATAGCGATCGTTGAGGACATTGACTGAGCATCGTCGACAACTGATCATCTTCTTCAGTGATGACTGAGCAATGTTTATTTAATTTAAATCTATTTTTTAAAATTGAAAAATAGCCTCCGATGTAATTTACAGAATATTCACGAGGATCAAATAACTTCAATTTTCTGCGCTGAAATTTAATTAATTGAATTTGACACCAGTTCAAAGAAATAAATGTCATGTAACCAATTCTCTTGAATTTATTCCATGTGATATTGTCCCAATGGCCTGTGGCCAATTCTCTTGGATATGTGACATGTTGACATTGATCTGTTATCTATGAATGGTAACATGTGACCAATTAATATTGACATGTGAACATTTTGACATACAATATGACTCGTGATTTGTGAATGGTAATGTGTGACCTATGAACTATAGCTCGTGACATGTGAACTAATATGTGACCAATTAATATTGACTTGTAAAATATGATCCGCGACTTGTGAACTATACTTGTCACCTATGACCTGTGAACATCCGTGACCTATACAATATAGCATTTGACTTGTGCACTATAATATGTGACCAATGAATATTGATATATGAACATAAATCAATGATCTATGACCCATGAACATTGATCTATGACATGCAATAAGTGAACAAAGACATGTGACATGTTACTAGTTCACATGTTACAAGTCATTATGCATATATTACGTATTATTTATTGACCACAGATTGATCATATTTACTGGTCAAAAACCTTGTTTATATTTTGCACCACTGACCACAATAACTACAATCATCACCACTAACACAATCATAGCACATCGAATCAGAGAACCACCCACAAAAAACAATCACAGGTCAGTGTTCTCTGGTTTATAACATAAATACACTATAATATATAGCTGAACAAATAAAATTGTCCTTATTTAAAATAACAAGTCACAATATAATTTTTACTTAGGCGATATTTGCATTCTATTATTTAATTATTTAATTTTCACTCAATATTTCTTTTCTTTAAATGAAGATTTTTGGGTGTATGATTTATAAAATTTATTACATTCTCTTCCTTTAAGTCTAACATAAACTCAATAAAAATAATTTTCGTAAATTAATAAATATTGAAAAATATAGATTATACTCCATTTCATTCTTCCAACGTTGTAAAAACTAATAAACTTTCTTAGGCCTTGTATGGGAGAGATTAAAATCGGATTAAAATTGAAAATAGAGCCGTTATTGTTGACTTTTATTAGACGAGTGGGACCCAATAACGACCATATTTTCAATTTTAATTGGCTTTTAATCCCTCCCGAACGGGGCCTTAATTTAAATCTCTTATTAATAGTTTTTGTTCAATGTTTTAACATTAATTTTTATTTTGTAGTTAAAACTTAAAAGTCAATTTTTATTCATTTTAAGTTAGGATACGCATGTTAAAAAATTGTTAAAAATTCGTGCTTATTTTATTGAAATCTATTGTACATGATTTTGTGCGAGAAAGCATCCTGAAAAAGAATAATATATAAATATAATTAATAAAAATATAAAATTTTATATAGAAAATGAAATTAAAAAAGTTACATGAATGATGAAATTAGAATACTCGAATGAATGTTAATTTATGAAGAAATAGATGAACAATATTTTTTTTAATAAAAGAAAGTTAGATGATAATGAACTTCAGATTGAACTTTAAAGAACATAGGAAAACAATTAAAAATTGGTATGTAAAGTGTTATATGATATAGTACATTATATATTACGAATGGTGTGCTTTGCTATTATTTATTATGAATATTTTTGTCTATTTACTATTATTGATGGCAATTTTTTAAATTTTTTTATCAAAAGTTTTTTTTTTTACCATACTGTAGAATATTATAAATTAAAAAAAAAAAATATTCTCTCCAATGACCTAGGCAGGTTCAACCAGCTCCATGAATAGCTCTTCATCTTTTTTTTTTTTTTTTTATGACTTAGGTGTCAAAGTTTTGTTTGACTAATCTTGAAGAGTGTCGGCCTTTTCCTCTGGTTCGCGGATGCGATCATAGCTTATACACATTTGGGCTTATACACATCCGGGTTAATCCGGATGCGGTCACAGCTTATACACATTTGGGCTTATACACATCCGGGTTAATCCGGATGCGGTCACAGCTTATACACATTTGGGCCGGACATTCAATTGTTCTCCTCTCTGTGGACCTCTACCTTACAACATTTAAATGTTGTCTTCCAACATAAAATGTTGCCTTTCAGCTGCACCGGGGTTTCAAACTTTCGATGCTCCATAGAGAACCAGCCTGCTTTACCATTGCGTCATATCCGTAGGGGGCAAAAATAGCTATTAATCTTGATCATAAAGGAAGTGAATGCAAGACCCCGAACCGTGGCTCCTACTCTATAGGTCTAGAGTACGATCATGTAAAGTAGAACATACCATAGATTTATTCACTTGTTTAATTCGGTATATAGGCATAGTGGAAATCTACTGGTTGTGAGGCTTTAAGTGATAGTAAGGTTTCAGGAACTTGTCACTAGATACTCTCGCACGAGCTAAAACTTTGAACTACAAACACTCACTTCAGGTTGGAATATTAAAAGTCTTAGGTTTGTGCTTTGTCTTTCTATATCCCTATACAATAAAAGAGCCACTTTTGAAAACACTGTTCACAGTTTCGTCCGATCAAACGACGTCGTTATGGCATGAATCCCAACAAAAAAAAAATCGATTGCCCAGTTTCTTCTCATTTTGCCCGTTTTCAATCCCCCAATTTCCTCTCGATCTTCCTTCTCAATCCAGCAATGAAACCGTCGATGAGCTTCAGCTTCTCCTCCATCCATCATCCATCGGAAACCGCCCCCACCGCAAAGCCACCGGCACCGAAAACTGCCCCCAGCGGACTACATTCATCCATCCCCAACCTTACCGATGCGTGAAAGGCGAGTTCCTAATTTTTCCAGCAACGAAGCGAGAGGCGGTGCCTTCGTGTCTCTGCTCGCTGTCCAACCAACTCTCAAGATTGGTATAATTTTTTCCAGTTTAGGGGTATTATTATCGGCTTTTTCGTGACGTGGGTGGGTTATTTCGTTGTAGGACTGACCCGGAGCTGGGATCAGAATCTTGTTAATCCTTGCACCTGGTTTCACGTTACCTGCAACCAAGAGAACCAAGTGACTCGCGTGTACGTGCGTGTATATATATATATATTTGTGTATCTATCTTTATATGTATATATTGTGGGTATGTGTGTGAATTTTATGGGTTATTTACAGACGGGTCGAAATTAAGGTGCTCACTGAAGTTGCTGCATTTTATGATAATTCATAGAATACTAGTCGGATGCACGTGCAATGCACGTGCTACCAGCAGAGTTGGCTATTTAATAGAGAAGGCAGCACAGCAGAATCTAAGGACTTATAGTGCACGTACACGTTTCCCCGCAAATGATATGAACCATTTCTGCAAACTTGAGCCATGGTCACTTAATTGTCATTCATCAAAGTTGCAAAGGAAGATATATGTCAATCAGTTATAATAGTATTCTCATAAAAATAAACACCTTCAGATAAAAAGCAGAGAACGATGCATCAACACTGTAATCAATTTTTAAACAAAAAGAACGGGAAAAAAACTCAAAATAAATAACTAATACACCCAAAGAAATTGAAAAAATTCAAAAGGAAATTCAAACCAAGATCATATTCTTGTTTGAATGAATTCTTTGCCATTCCATGTATCTAACCGTATGACTTCTGAAAGCAAAAAGTTACTTTCTAAGAAGGGGTTCAAAAAACTATCGTATCATTAACATCAATATAAAAAAATCCCTTTTGGGATATAAATTTTCACCCACGGAACTATATATTAACTAACAAATAAAACTTCATTCGAAGGGATCTTGCCTTCAAATCCATTTTGTCTCTTTGAACATGTTACAACATACCACCGCAGTCCGAAATTTCAAAAAACGACAAGGGATGGAAGGAGAACAGGATTAAAGTTTTAACGTCGTTGTCCGAAAAAGCCACCCGTTTCTTCGGCTCACTTTTCTTCAAAATCCTACCATATTTAGAAGAGAGAATTAAAACCTAGCACTAAGCAACTTCCAGACCATTGCATTCCCAATAGTCATATCAGTTGCTTGCAGCATAGAGACTATGCTATTAGTTAAAAATATTTCTAATGCAATGAAATGTCACATGATCCACTACATTTTATTCTATAGAACTACCGCTAGTAAATAATTTCTGCTATAACCAAGAAATTTGAAATGTCAAACATCCCATGAACAAAAATTCTGCATTATGAAGAAATTTTGAACTTATTTTATACAACCAGACATAAAGCTTCCAAAAAGATAGGTACTTACAGAATTTTGTCCCCAACCTTGAATACTCAATCTGACAACCAAGAACAGAATCAGGGTCGTAATGGCGGTTGCAGCGTACAACATGGTGCGCTGGGCCTTGTACCTCTTGAGCCCCAACTGCCACGGCCATAAGAATCCTGAAAGCAAATGATATAGATAGACAATGAAAGTACACAAAAGGTCTTTGTTGAATGTAATCAGACTCCAGAACTTAAAGGGCATAAAAAGCACATTAATGGTGCATACATGTGTTAGCACACATCTGCATAAATGTGTGAGGGTCAAAGATCAAGAGAACAGTTATTCTACTCACATCTAAGCTATTGTTTGAGAACAGAAATGTACAAATATGCAAATCATTGTGTCCATGTAAATAAAGAGAGCATTTGAACTTTTATGTTTACATGACAGATTCCTACAAATTATAAAATAATTAGAAAACTATCATACATAAATTTTGCTATTGAATGGAAAAGTTTCCATCAGAAATGCGCGCGTGAGAGAGAGAGAGAGAGAGAGAGAGATGAGCTAAGAGTCCCTCCTCAGTAAATAAATAATGCATTAAAGCAAATAGCACATAAATCATTTTTAATTGTTGATAATGTCATGTATGTGCAAATTTGAGAAGTCCAAGATTACCTCGCCAATGTTGCATATAAAGGATAAGAGAGCAAGTTCGAAAGAGCTGTGTCCACGTCCGTTATCAACTCAATCCCATCCTTCAGCAGTTGAACAGTCTCCTGTACATATGAATTCACAATACATCAAAAACTATATGTAACTTCTAAGGTTCATTAACCAATGCAAATAACAAAATAAAATGCTCAGCCAATAGCTGTGAATAATCACTTTGATGTGATGAGCCTCTTTGTCAAATGACCAACAGCTCAAGAAGTTGTAAAATAAAATTGTTGAATAATATTCAGGAATATTTTCAAGTCTTTAGTTGTAAAAAAAGCTGGAATTTGCAATAGAAGTAAAGAGTAAATTAGATTTGAAAGATGTTGAAAAATATGATAGTTGAAAGGTGAGAAATTTTAAGACTTCAATGCATTACAGGGCTTTCTTGGACATATTTTTTAGTTTATTATGTCAAACTATTAACATTGGGTCAAAACAATTGGGTTGATTCTTAACATAAAAATTTAGCTGTCATGCCACTGTTTGCAATTCCAAATCAATCATCTTATTTTTATGTAATGGATATACAATAAATTGGTATACCTGCTTTGATGTCTCCTTTTCAAGTGTTATGTTATGTATCTCCATTTAAAAACTATTCAATATAAATTGTTTGTTGTGAATTTAATGTTGACATTTCTAGCTTGCAGATAAAAACTGCACAAATTAAGATGACTAAAACCAGTTCAGTTAAGAAAAAGGCTAAACCAGCACACCAAGATCATGTTGAACAGGAGAAGTTCACTTCCAAACCTAAGAAAATAGGGAGTGAGATTGAATGCATTTTTTTTTCTCTGAAGTGATGATATTTTGTGAATCTCTTTATGACAAATTAGTTTCAGAAAAAGTGAGAATATTTTGTGAATAGTGATGATATTTTGTGAATCTCTTTATGACAAATTAGTTTCAGAAAAAGTGAGGATATTTTGTGAATCTCTTTATGACAAATTAGTTTCAGAAATGGAGCATGCTGATGATATGGAGTTCATAATATTGAAAAATAGTTTTCTTATTCTATGCTGACTATGGTCATGTTCCATTTTGAATAGAGGTGAAGTTACTCACACTAATTAGTACACTGTTCCCATAGATCTGTGCCACTGCAACATTGGAAATAAGGACTGTTTGAGAACTTCTATGAATTTCCCTCATTTTTGTGAAACTTAATATCTTTGTAGTTGATTTTATCGTTTCATACCATCGGATATAAATCATTGACTTGTATGCCACCATGATACCTTTTAATTCGCAGCAAAGTTATGGAAGTCTTCATTAATGTTTTCTACATTTATCTTCTATGTACTGATTTTTTATGCATGTTCATGTCATCCCAACACTCTCATTTTCTTACTCAGTACCGTGCCTACTCATCCCATGATAGGATGAATGTTATCTTCTCTCTTTTATATGATTGCATCTTTAGCCAATCTCCTTTGCAAATGGTCCGTGTTTATGATTTTTAGGACCTGGAAAATAACCATGTTCGTGATTTTGTTTTTGTGGGTTTTGTGCATTGTTTCATAGCAGTTACTACATAGCAGTTACTACAGTGGATTCTGGTAGCAAAGCTTTAGAATTTCTTGGTTAGCATGAAGATGACAGAAAAAACACTGATGGAACCTCTTCCCATGTTTATTTGCACTCATTAACAGGTTCTTTAGTCTGAAATTTTTCTTTTCGCATGTGTACAATGTATTGTCACATGATGTGCAATTTTTTTTTTTGAAAGTTAGATGTACTCTGAGTTGAATGCGGTAGAAAAGAAATAGGAACCATAAACAATTTGCAAATGTTCATGACGTGAGCTCATCTTCTTATGTCAAAACTCTGATTTCCCTGCATTTTAATAGTCTAGAGCCAAACAGTTCTTTTGTCTTTCCACTTAGGTTCCAGTTCTTATGTAATATGAATTATTTTTCTTCTTACACTGGGAAGATGTCTATTGTCTAGGAGAGAGACAGTTCTTTTGTCTTTCCACTTAGGTTTGTATACAGTTTTGTTGCTTTGATGCTTTCAGAATCTGTAGCCTTGTAGAATGTTTAATTATATGCCTTCAGTTGCCTGATCAGAATTTCATGATCCTTTTGAATCCTTCATCCACTCCCCCCCCCTTTATTTTTATTTGAGCTTTATTTCTGTATTTCGTTTATGTTTTAAATGGGAAAATAAACCGTATAAACTAATATCATAGTTTAAGCGAGTTAATGCTATGACCAATTCAATTTTACAGCAGCCACAGTAAAAAAAAATCATGTTTTTATACAAACCCAAATATCCTTTTACTAATGAATTAGAGTATGTTTGCTAAGCCTTAAAAGTTTACTTGTAAGTAAATAATAAGTTTTAATGTTAAAGTCGGAAATTAGAACATGTCTGGTCTTGCCAAAAAATAAGTCAAATGCACTTTTGAAGCTACTTATTTTCCAAAAAATATGATTCACTGGAAGTGTTTTGTGATATATGCTCCTTAGTGCAAGTTAGGTGTGACTTGAGGCTTATCTTAATTATATGTTCAACATCAGTAATCGGCTAAGCTTTCATGTAGTGTTTAATTGAACTCGAGTTCCAATTTTTTTCTTCTTTTACTAATGACCTTATGCAGGTGGATTTCCATTGGTTCAGACTTGCAATTTCATTCTAGGAGAGACTTGGATGACGTAGGTCCAATATGTATAGAAGGTACATGCTACTTTTGTATATGAATTCTTCCTATTAACCGCCTTGAAATTGGCCTTGCTATTTTCTTGTGCTTGTCTTTCCATATATATAGGGTCATTGACTTCCTTTTTTTATTTTATTGGAGGGAAGAGGACATTCAGTTGCACACACATTTGAACTTGATTATTCTTTATCAAGAAAACATGATCATAGGTTATTTGTCCGTGTTGTGCCTATATTTTGAAAACAATTCCTAGAATTAGTGAATAATATTAAATGCACAAAAATATAGTTTCACTCTTAGGGTGTGTTTAAGCCACATTATTTTGGAGAATGTATTCTAGAATAGTAGATTGATGGAGAATGTGTGGTTGAAAAAAAGGAAAAGTTATTGATGTAATGTAAAATATTATTTTATTGAAAAATGTGTAATTTAAAATGAGAAGAATGAGAATGAGAATTTTAATGTGTGTGAGTTCGGTCCCATGACTTGCCGCTGCTGCTGCGATTATTACAACTGACCTTCGAAACTCCCAAGTGAAGTATTTGTTCACCTAGGAATCTTGACCAAGCTCTCTGAAGAAAAATCATTAGTGATAATGTTTAATTGACATCAACAATCTAGAAACAATTGTCACAATCAAGATTGAAGATCAAACTCTTAAAGCTCTAATAACAAAAAGATTGATTTATATTTTACAGAATATATACCATACTATGAATTTTGTAGAGTTAAGAGGAAATATTTGAGATGGTTGCATGATTTAGTAACTCAGCTCTGGGTAAGGAGAGACAAGAAACCACTCATCCACGTACAATTCTTTGGTTTATAGGTGAAAATGTCAAATCGCTTCCTTATTTCATTTCTATTATACTAAACCCAAATTATACTTTTGAATGGTTGCCACACTGTGGACTTATATGAAGCATATCTCTTCTATGCTTTTATAGTTGTTGCAGGAAGAATTCAAAATTTTAAAATATAGTTCCTTGTAAATAAGCATATCAGTCTGCGATGATCAAGAGGTAGATAGTGTTGATATACACAAGTAGTCTTGAGTGCATTTCTCGGAGAATAAGTTGTATCAATTAGGAATCGTTTTTCTAATACTATAACATACATACATTATACATTGTAAAAAAAAAAATTTAACTAACAAAAGAATCAATTTTTACAGTTATACAAACATTAGACTAAAAAAATAATTTAAAATCACTCAACGCTACTAAATACACAATTAAACTGTAGCACGTGCATTGCACGTGCGCACACTAGTCATAAGATAAACCATGCGTCACAAGGATACAATAGTGCACCTTGATGTTAATAGACATGGATAGTCTGAGCTCTACTAACAAACACTTATGTCCTTGATACGCCTTTTGAGATTTACTGAAGTCTTCAATATGAGTAGCTAAATTGGTCAATTTTAAGTGGTCAATAAACGAAGATAAGTGGTTCACACACAAAAAGGAAGAAACCCAGTGGATACCATATCCAAGGTTTGTATCAAGAGGAAGTATGTCCCTTGGAGTGGGCCTAAAGATAAAAGAGAATATTACCATCTCAATAAAATACGACAGGAGATTGTGCAACAAATAGGACAAATCACATAAGCAATTCTAATCTTAAGACACTCGATAGCGAGTTTCTATGCTGATTAGACATCCACCTAGCCTACGAGATTCTTAGTTCTTGTCTTGCTCTGACTAGAGTAGGGTCGACCAATAGGCCCATTGGAAAGGGAGACCGATCTTCTATATCATATTGTGATGCTCTCAAAATTTTAAAGAATAATTTTTTTTTATATGCTATATATTTATATTTTGAAAAGTTGAAGGATCAACGTAAAATATGTTTTAAATTCTTTTTATTTTGGCCAAATAACTAGATTTTGATAGAGGGAAAATAAGTATGTCGATATTAGACTCTTTTTGTAGCTCGTAATTAATTAGAAGTCTTCAACATGAGAAAAAGTTATTTTGGATTAGAATACATCAAGTTAAATCCAATAAAAAAAATAATAGGTTAATGGAGTTTTGGGGGGGGGGGGGGGGGGGGGGGGGGGGGGGTTGCAATGTTTTCCTCTTTTAATTCCTACCACACATGATTTTTATTTGATATGAAAACAATAGTGTAGTACAATACAAATGTCATTTTTTTGAAACCAAGTCCACGTTGGCCATGTGTTCTATTTTAAAATGAAAAGTTTAATTATATGATTGGTAATTAATTAAACTTGGTTTATGATTTTTTTTGAAACCAAGTCCATGTTGGCCTCGTGTCCTATTTTCAATTGGATGATTGTACTAGGAAACCAATAGTACAATATACTATTAACTCTACCACTTGAACCCATTCTTATCCAATTCGTGGTGGTAGTGGTACACGACTTTTGTATTATTATTGCACTAAAACTCAATTTGTAAATATTTATTTTCACTATAAATACCCCATGAGTCGAGAAATTTTCACTACAGGATCTTTATTCATAAACATTGTCAGAGAGAGAGAGAAACATAGGAAAAAAAGGGTTTCACGTGCATTATTTTAAATCCTTTCAATAAACGAGGTAAGATACTTATGTGCAAGTAGTTTGGTTTCTTATACTTTTATAAATATTGGAGCGTTATCAAAAATTCAATTTTTATAAATACTTGAGTGTTACCAAAAATTCAATTTTCTTTACGTTAAAAGCGAAAACGATACAAATAAAAATATGACTTTATTTTCAACAATAAATATTAACTAAAACATGGAATCTGAGTTTCAAAAAAAAAAAAAAAAATTTAAATATAATCAATTAACTAATTATAAACACGTTTTTGAACAAATAAACAATCTAATAAATTGGAGATAAAAAAAAACTTAATGATTTTATTTTTTCAATTCCTCTTGACAGTCTGTATCACTATCTCGCCATAATTCCAATCGACCTGATTTAACTTGTAAAATTTTATAAGAGTGAGTATTTAAAAATATCCAATAAGATACATGCAATTTTTATATACAATTATATAATAATAAAATAAACACTTCATACCACTCTTCTCTTATGAAGTATATCGGTAATCAAGCGACACACTCATCTTATGTCATCTTAAATTCTCGAAAGATTTTATAACAAATTTAATAAAAAACCTGAAGGTCCATTAGAAATTTATGCATATTTAATTGAAATATATAAAAGTATAAGAAACCAAACTACTTGCACATAAGTATCTTATCTCGTTTGTTGAAAGGTTGTAAAATAATGCACGTTGATATAGGATGACATCAATAATGATCTATGATGGCCACAAGGTAATGACTACTTGATATGCACTCTACGTAAAGCACCTCATGTGAGGTCGACTACCACCATGAGGCCCTCTACGTTCACATGAGCCGTCTAACGCTACATATCGCCTACCATCGCGAGCCCTCGACTACTATAAGGCACTATACGTTCATATGGGCCGTCTGCCATAACGAGACCGTCGACTACTATGACATACTGTACGTTCAAATGAGCTATCTACCACTACAAACTGTCTGCCACATGAGGCCAACACCACACTTAACCTAAAAAATGGCCATGAATCAGACGGGAACTGCTCAACGGCAATCATGGATACAACCAACCGCTGAAGAAGTGGAGATCATCCCTTCAGAACTTGGGGGAAGCGGGAGGAGTTATGTGGGACATGGCATCAACAACCACTGAACATGTACGTTGCATCAGATGCATATAAACACCCTTAAGGTGGGAAATGTATGGACTGAGAAACCCGAACCATTTGAATATTAATTACATTTCCCAAACCTTCTACCGATTCTCACTCCGGAGATACAACGGGGGATGAAGCTCCAACCTCATTTTCTAGGTAGCGTTTGTCTATCGAAACAACCGGAACACCCTACACATAAAGGAGAACGCGAATGTCTATCGCGTTGCAATTTCACACGTGAAAACCCATTTTTCCAATTTCTCTCTCTCTCTCTCTCTCTCTCTCTCTCTTTGCCTTGACTCTTTCTGACCACGTCTATTTATGTGGTGAAAATTTCTTGACTCATGAGGTATTTATAGTGAAAATAAATATTTACAAATTGAGTTTTAGTGCAATAATAATACAAGAGCCTTGTACCACTACCTCCACAAATTGGATAAGAATGAGTTCAAATGGTAGAATTAGTTATGGTCTACTATTTATTTTCTGGTTCAATCATCCTATTGAAAATATGACACGTGGCCAATATGGCTTGGTTTCAAAAAGTGACATTTGAATTGTACTATACTACTATTTTCATATCAAATAAAAATCACATGTGATAAGAACTAAAAGAGGAAAATAATTTTACTTAATTAATATTGCAAACCCCCACCAACTCTTGTAACCTATTATTCTTTTATCGAACTTGATGTAGTCTAATACAAAATAACTTTTTTCTCGTGTTGAAGACTTCTATTAATTATGAGCTACAAAAAGAGTCAAATATTGATACACTTATTTTCCCTATATCAAAATCTAATTATTTGGTCAAAATAAAAAGAATTTAAAATATATTTTACTTTAATCCTTCAACTTTTCAAAAGATAAATATATAGCATATAAAATAAATAAATTATATTCTTTAAAATTTCCGGGGCGTTGCACATATGCCTTTTGTATACCCATTTATATAGAATCGAAGTGTAGTGTTACATATGTAAATTGTCATACACCTTACTTAGTGGGTGTTTTTTTGTATGTTTCCACTAAATATTTAAAATCTCAAGTTCACATGTTGGACCGAACTTCCTATAAAATCTCCTCCCTTAAAATTTTAATATTTCGTACAAACTTCGTAATTTAGGGGGTGTTTGTTTTTGATTTGAGAATTGATTTGATTTTCGACCATACATTTTTCAATAAAATAATATTTTCCATCACATCAATAATTTTTTCTTCTTTTTCAACCGCACATTTCCTATCTTATCACTATTTAAAAATCAATTCTTCCCCCAAAAATTCCTACCAAACAAGCACTTATTAAAGAACTTTACAAACTTAGAAATTAACAAAATACTATTAATTTGCACAAAAATTATTTAAAATCTGTACACTAAAATTAGAATGTAGACGAACATAAAAATATGGAAAGTAGGCACAAATAGTCCCCAACGTAGTGCGCATATGATTTCTAATCTTTTATTCTTGACGCTAACACCCTCAACCTATTAATTTTGCGTGCAAAAAGTCCTTTTGGATGGATGGACCATTAAAGTATACCTATTTTAGCCCTATTAAAATTTTCATTTTCATTTTTATTCTTCTACTCATTTTCAACCACATATTCTTCAATAAAATAATATTTTCCATTACATTAATAATTTTTTCTTTTTTTTCAACCACACATTCTCCGTCAATCTACTATTCCAAAATAATGTAACTCAAACACACTTTCTTTACTGAGAATTTAGATATACAGATTTAAATATATTGAAGATCCAGATAATCACATTGATGATTGAAGACTCTATGACCATAACACACGAGAGGCCATTTTACTAATTTGAGAACCAATTTGCAAATGAATACACGCCCAAGGAAATATTGAAAATTTAACTTCCCGCCTTGACCATGCCACCTGCTAAAATCCTATTGGTTCATAAATAAACCACGGATCGTCAGCCAGTACTCATTTCTAACCGTTCGATCAACATCTACTCTCATGGGCAGAAATAGAAGCACGCGGATCGCTGTCGTCCCTCGCCCCTCCGACTCCCTACTCCATATACGCAGTACAAATACCACCCCTTGCCTTTTTTACTTTCACAGAGTACTCCAAAATTCGAAAGTGTTTTTCCCTCTCAAAAGCCAGAGATTCTCATCTCGTCATTTTGTTAAGAACATACTTCAATGGAATCTGCAAAGACAACAATCACGAAGGGTGCTGGAGGCCGAAAGGGTGGCGACAGGAAGAAGGCCATACCCAAATCGGTGAAGGCCGGGCTGCAATTTCCGGTGGGTCGAATCGCCCGTTTCCTCAAAAAGGGTCGGTATGCTCAGCGAGTTGGCATTGGAGCCCCGATTTACATGGCTGCTGTACTTGAATACCTTGCTGCTGAGGTAAATTCACGTGTAATCTGTCGAAGGATTTCTCGGGTTTTTCCATTCTTGTTTATTCTGTTTTATTTTTGATTTATTCAGTTGATCTTGATTTCTGTCAGGGATTTCTTGGATCAAGTCTCGCGACTACGCTTTTATGTGAAAACTAGATTTATTTTTTGATTAAAATTCTAACAAAATTTCGTAAGTGGGTTGTTATACTTCAAACCCAATGACGCAACTTAATTGTCCAAAGATCGAAATGAGTTTTCAACTGGTTACTTTATATTCATCTTCTTGTTGAAGGTTTGAAATTTTTTATCTTTCCTAAATGAGTTACCGCAAAATGTTTTAGAACTTGATGCATTTTTAACTAGAAATTTAAAAAGATTTCGTAAATGAGATTTACTCTAAAGTTTAAATGGGTTTCATTCACATTGTGTTTTAGGTATTGGAATTGGCTGGAAATGCTGCACGGGACAACAAGAAGAGTCGAATTATTCCGAGGCATGTGCAATTGGCAGTAAGGAACGATGAAGAATTGGGAAAATTGCTTTACGGTGTAACAATTGCAAGTGGTGGAGTTTTGCCAAATATTAACCCGGTTCTTTTGCCAAAGAAATCTAATGAATCCCAGGATAAGGCCCCCAAGTCCCCCAAAGCCTCCAAATCTCCAAAAAAAGCCTAGATTTCTAGCAGTTAGTTGGGTTTGGTGTTCTGTTTTTGATAATGTAAAAAATTTAGATTCTAATGAAAAATGCTTTGCCTTTTATTTTGATGTTTATTTTTTCCGTAGTTTTCTGTGGTTTGAATTTCTTATTATTCAATCCAGAGGGATGTTTGATCTGCACCTCCACTTTCAAGTTTTAACCTACTTTTTGGTTTGAATTTTCTTCAGAATGAAGAAATAAAGGATGCGAACGGGAGAAATTTATAGCATCGTCGGTTTTTTTGTATAAAGAATCAGAGCTCCAGTTTTCCTTCGGGGAGGCACCAATTTAACGGAATATGAGCACCCACAATTCCCCCCCCCCCCCCCCCCCCCCCCCCCCTATGTTTTTGCCGTAATAATCTTCGAAAATTCAAATTTCAGGCTCGTCAGCATAACCCGATATGTTGTGGAATCATCTTTAATTTGCTGAAATGTCAGTTAAATAACACAACTACCGTTATGTAATCGTTGGTTCTATGCTTTCCCCAAATTCTCTGCCAGATTAATAAACTTCATTTATTGTCATGCGTTCCTCGTTATACTTTGAATGCTTTCAAATGGCACTCCATCCATCATCCACAAAGTTATCGTAGCCAGTGCAGCCTATGTGGATAAATACAATTTGACGTGGCACGTTGATGTAGTTAAAACTACCAAATAAGAACTGTGGCTGCCCTTTTTGAAAGAGTTAATTGTTTCATTACACATTAAACTTTGCCTACCGTAATGCTTTACTAATTGTACTTTGAAATGCTTTTAAATGGTCTTTGAATTTGTAAAATTTGCACTCCATCCATCATCCACGAATTTATCGTTTTCCTTTTTTTTTTTCAATTCATAATTTTCTAGGACAGAGCAAATCTCTAAATGCAAAAGGAAATAAATCAAATTACCAAAATCATTTCAATTGTTGTTCTTGAATACCAAAAAAGGAAATAAATCGAATAAAACATTATACGAATTTGAATGCAAAAGTCTACAAAAAGCATTCACATATTTGAGATCCACTATGTTGACCTCAGAATATTTACCTTCCACGAGGCCAACAACTAGCAGCTCCAAGTAGGCTTCTCCCTGCGCACTAGAACACATCGTTAGTCACTTGTGGCCATTTCCAGTGGTGGTAGAAACGGTCAAGAGCACTCTACGATCAAATCAGTCGACAATATGAAAAATGGAGTGTTCAGGTAGCAGGAACCGTTGAAAAATCAATATAACGGTGATGTGGGGGGTGAAATTATATTTGATTTGGTTGGAGTTGCATTACCTTCAAATGACATTAAATGTGAGTATATATCAGTTTCATGCGACTTATTATCATAGCAACATTCATTTTTAGGTAAATCTTTGGAATTTCGTGAAGTTCTCTTTTTTTGTTTCTTTTAGAAAAATGTCTAGTTTTGTAGTTCTAACGAAGCGAGGGAGGGTCAGTTGAGTTTAGTGTCGTCAGGGTTGAGTAAGCCAATTGTTTTGGCCTCTGACAAGGTGTTAAGGGCTATTCTGGAGGTTAATATATGGAAGAGACTCGACAGTCCTGTAGACACCTCAATCTATTGAGAAGCATCAGATTTCCCTTCTATGATGACAACTGTCGATCTTACAAAACTTAGAGTGGATTATAGAATTCTAGAGAATATAAGGTTGATAGTGCCGAACATAGATGAGCTACATGAGGTCTGGGTGCATTGCTGTTAGTGAGGTCATTTTTAAAGCTGGCCTTAGGTTGCCTATACACCTCTTTTTTGTTTTGTACTGAGGTCGTATGGCCTACCTCCGACCTTATTAAATTCGAACTCATAGAGTCAACTGGTGGGATTGTGGATGCTGTAGCATGATGCCTCCTATAGGGTGGAAATGCCCTTTTACGTTTTCCAAACCCTTTATATGCCAAAAGTGATTGCGGACAAGGGGGTGGTGCTACCAACGTCACGATATTCTCACATTCCATTTGTCATTGACCTGACGACCTTTATCAAAGGATGGAAGAGATCATGGCGCTGGGCGTTTGGAAGATGGGACACAATGGAGGATGACCACCTGGTGCATCTGACGGTCCCTTCGAAGTTCTTAACATTTAGTATATCTTAGGAACTGGATCTTTTGATTATTATTTATTGCTTCATTTTTTTGACCTGCTCATCTTTCTGTTTGCCAATTGTTACGTCGCTGTAAAATGTCAATGGAGGAATTCGATACAATTTGTATCATATATCAGCTTTCACATAACGATAGATCGCACGACGAGCTGATAAAAAAGAACATCCACTTTGTCAAAAATGGTTTGACATCTTCCCAAGGTAAAATTGAACTGCTATGCTTCATTCATTATACGGTTGATAGAGGCACCGATAGTTGTTCTTTTTGCAGACTATTTTCTGAAGAAGAGGCCAGTGAAGCTTGATTTTGCCACCATATGAAGACTTATAGCTGGGGTACGCGCGCTGAAAACCTCTTCAGCCATATATACAAAATAAATTGAGGACCTAATGAATGTGAGCAAGATCCTCTTTCCTCCTGTTGATGAGGAGGAGCTTAAAGAGCCTATGAAGAAGAAGGGGAAGAAAGTTGGCCCACCCAGTTCCTCTTTACTTGGTCCAAATGTGGCAAGGCTTGCGCCTAGTTTCTCTCATGTCCCAACTGGGATAAAAATCAAGAAAATACCATCATCTTCACCGGTTGAAGTACCATCTCCTCAGCCTCCGCTAGCATCGAAAGAGATTGTATCATCTCCTCTACCACGATGCAAGAGGCAACGTGCCTCAGACAAAGCTCAAGATTTCTTGGGAACAAACCCAGATGAATTGGTGGCTGAAGTCTTGGAGACTCTCCTACCCGAGACAGCCTTGATGGAGATCGTATACAATAGATACTGGACTAAAGCGTGGAGAGACCATTTCTCCTGGAAGGTTGAGGATTTGCGACAACCAACAATGCTTTTGTTGCATGAACCTTAGGCATTGAAGTGCAGTTCAAGGGCCTTGTGAAGGATCTTGGGGCTAAGAATGCTGACCTGGCATAGAGGCTAGATACCACCCTTCAGTACGATGACGAAATCAATGCCGTCTGGCTAAGGCAGACAATCTGAACTGAGAATGGTGGAGGCTGAGAGTAAGGTGGAGAAAGCAAAGACAGTAATCGAGGAATTGAAAAGGAGTTGCACGAGATGGAGTGTTAAGTTATTGCCTTGACGAGGCAGGTGGACCATGCCAACGAACATCATGGTTTGGTAACTGAAGATTTGGTGGCCTCGAACAAAGAGATAACCGAAATGAGCTAGCAGCTGATGCCCAAGCAGAGGAGATTGGGTCATTGAAGGCTGAGGTAAAGTCTGTAGGTGAAGTGGCAGACCAAAATTACATTGATAACTTCGAAAAGACTGAGCTTTACGAAGTATTCTCCAACTAGGTAAAGTCTGTTGGAATGCTCAGTTGATGTTTGGTGCTTAAGGGAGGTCTACACTGACTTGGACTTAACTGCCCTTGAGAAGGAGTTTGGGAGACCTTTGGAGATAGGCCCGACCTTTAGGCCATCGATGAAGTTGAAGAGGAGGCTCCAAATGCTGGAGTGAACAGAAAGAATGAGGTAATTGGGGATGGGGCCATCGTGCCAGTAAACCCTTAGGATTTTTCTTCTTTCAATTGTAATGGCTTCGGCCTCTTGATGTAAATTTATTTATGAATGTAAATTTTTATTATTCAAAGTGTTATTGCTTCTTCCATTTTGCATGGATCCTTGCACGCTTTATACACTTCTTAACAATAACAATAACAATAACACTTCTTCGTTTAACTAATAAACCGACCTCAATAAGATGTTCCCACTTGGTAATAACTTAAACATAATAATTAAGTGTTGATACCTCAGATAATCGTAGATTATTGCCTTGGATGAGAGGGCTAGTCTTGGATATTACTGAGGCTTTGGTCTTCGTTAACTAAAATCACATTTTGTTTTTCAAAGTTTGAGGTTAACATTTCTTTATTTTCATTATTGTTAACATTTTCCTCATTTTTCGGAGGTAATACCCTTGCAAGAGGTGGACGCGCCTCATCAAGGGCTTTCTCTTTGGTGGATGGTTCATCTGTGATGAGCATCATTTTTGAAGGAATTAGAGGTGACCTTTGTGAAGGTGCGACGAACCTCGTCATTCGAAGTAGACATCTTTGGAAGAGGTGAACCCGGTGTGGGTGTCATGCACCTCGTTAAGGGCTTTCTCTTTGGTGGATGGTTCATTTGTGAAGAGCATCATTTTGAAAGAATTAGAGGTGACCTTTGTGGAGGTATAGCAAACCTTGTCGTTCGAAGTAGACATCTTTGGAAGAGGTGAACCCGGTGTGGGTGTCATGCACCTCGTTAAGGGCTTCCTCCATGGTGGAGGTTCATCCATGGAGAGTATCAGTTTCGAAGAAATTAGAGGTGAACATTGTGGGGGTGTTACACACCTCGCTGTTTGAAGCGGACATCCTTAGAAGAGGTGACCCTGGTGGGGGTGTCACACACATCTTCAAGAGCTTTCTCGATGGTAGAAGGTTCATCAATGGAAAACATCATCTTGGAAGGAATCAAATATGACTCAGCTGAGGTGTCACTTACCTCTTCGTTTGAAGTGTACTTCCTTAGACGAGGTGATCCCATTGGGAGGTGTCATGTACCTTGTCAAGGGCTTCTTCCATGGTAGATAGTTCGTCTATGGAGGAGAGGATAATGAAGGGGTAGCACTTGTAAAAATTCATTTCATATGATCATGGTTCGAAATTTCATCCATTCTACACTTTAGACATTGCCTACTAGTAGTATCTCTTTAGATGCTCATCGTTCTAAGGATTATGTTGCACCTTCCCATCCAAGCCTTCAATTTTGTAGGTACTAGATCTTAGTTCTTCCTTGATGCAGTATGGGTCTTTCCAGTTGGGTCCCAGTGTGCCTATACCTAGCTCTTTAGAGGACATGAGACTTTTGAAGCACGAGGCCACCTA